CCTGCGGGGTCTGACCTTTGGTCTGTTCCGTGCTCCAAACTGCGTAAAGTGCCTGAAAGGGGTACCGGAGAGCGTTGACCTAGCCTACCATGCCTTGGGGCATCAAAGAGCCCCAAGCTCACTAGGCCTACTCTTGCAGGTGCCACAAGGCTTCTGTATGGCTGAAAAACCTGCAGATCCCCCCTGTATTGTTGTTGTCAGTCCGGTCATCTTGGTGAACTTAAATTTTCTGTCACATATGTCTCTCAAGGTCTTGCGTACCCAAAGGGTAACAAGGTTCAGTTCATGATCTTCTCAATTAGAGTTTGATTACATATGATTCTCCTTCTCATTCATTTCTTTCGAATTTCCATCTTTTTCAACCAGTTCCTATCTTCTTCTAATTCTTCTTCATGAAACTTCCAAAGGTATCTCTCGTAAGCACGTGATTTCCACCTGCCTTTACTTATGATTTGGGGTAAAGGGACCCCTTTGTTCCAAAGGAAGGAAGCCCCTCCTACTTGGAAAGAATGGCCTGTAAGTCCTTCATAGCCATCCTTCTTCCATAATTTGCGTAGTAACACCATTATACCATTCTTAGTTAAGCTTGTACCTCCACCTTCGTCTTTTTGACCGTAGGTAAAGAGCTGGTTATCTGTGTATGAACCGTTTGCTATATGTTGGCGTAGGAGTCGTTCGACTGCTCCGACTGGGTCCAGTATTGATTGATGTCTTCATAAGGTAAGTTGTTGAACTTCCCCGGGCTTCGCCGTTTTGGCTTCCCTTAGGTCTATAGTCATGATTTGTTCATCTGGAGTTATTTTGACATCTTCAATTCTGATTCTTTTTGTTTCACTGAGCGTAGTCAGTTCACCAAGACAGGCCATGCCCCAGAAGTCTACCAGCGCAACTGTGACCGCTAGTTTGGATGGCTTGTCTTTCCTCTCTAGGTTACAAAGTAAGCTTGCTAAGTGTTTAATTCAGAGTGGTCGTTTTGAGGGTTTTGTTTTTGACTTCGCGTCTAGTAGTTTTGCTGCTTTTAGCGCCAAATTCACTTCTTTTGGTTCGATGTCAGGGAATTGGAGGTGGTGGAGCAGGTGCCAGGCTTTCAGAACGGACAGGTAGGTTTTGATTGTACTCGGCTTGATCTCGTGATTGGTTTTCAGCTCTCCTTCTACTTTTGGACAGGACCATTGGATGAAATGTAGGATGTCGATGGCATTAGCTGGTAAGAGTTGGTGTCTTTCTTTTGCATTTTCTTTCCTGAAGATCATGTATTTTGTGATTGCCAAATTATATAGGATCAGTGTGTCCTGCAACCAGCTGCCCCCTAGGACCATCAATCTCTGTACCGGGTTTACATCCAACTTCACTACTCCGTATTGGTTGCTAATGAAGCTGTGGATTTTCTTCAGATTTATTTGATCGTTCTTGTTGGTACCCTCCATTTCAACATTGTATTAGGAAGCGCAATAGGTCTACGGGGAGTTGGATCTTGACTTCTTCAAACCAAAACAGATTGGTTTTGATTCCTCTTGAAAGGGCGTCTGTGTTGTTATCCCCTGAGGTCACTCGTTCTTGTTTAATGGAGCACTGGTTTGTAGTTAGGAGTTTTTGAATATTTTTCCACTCATTATTGACTGCTTGGTCTTTGGATTGTGTGTTTCTGATTGCCGCTTCAGTAGTTGTATTATTGGTCCAAACTACGAAACACCTCCCTTTCAAATGCATCAGTTTCAGAACCACTAGTAGTCCCAGTCGTACTGCGACTGTTTTGAGCCAAGCAATGTTTCTCTTGGTTTGATCTTTGTCAACGTCATCCCACCCTGGGAGCAGTTTGAAACGTGCCCAATTGGACCCTACTAATATCCCAATTCCGTATGACGTTGAGGTGTCTCCAACCCATTTTATATCTTCTGGGTCGAGGTTGGGAATTATCCTCATGTGGTCAAAACTGGTCAGTACCTCTAGCCATTCTTCGAGGTTGTCTTGTACTGACTGCGTGATTCCTCTGCGTGCTTTGCTGTTCCTCCAGGCACCTTTCCAACCGTAGAGCTCTTTCATGTAGCATTTCATGTCTGGCATGATGTAGGTAAGGTGGCATAGTTGTCCAACTAGTTTTTCTACGGGTTTTTTCTTCCATTTCTCTCCATTGAGCAACACTTTTACTTGTAAGATTCGTATCTCTAGTTTTTCTTGGGGTAATCTGACTGTTTTTTCTATTCCATTCCATATAAAGCCGAGGTATTTCTGCTCATCGGCAAAGTCGGAGTATTTGGTATGGTTCAATTTGACTCCCATTCTGGCGCTCAGATGAAGAACTGATTCCATTTTGAATTCTGATCCCACTTCTCTTAGGATTAAGTTCTTGTCCACCCACCTGAAGATCTTGGGGATGCCAAGGGCTTTCTGCATGATGTCTTTCCATGTGTCCGCCGCACAACCGAACGTGCCGCAACCTGCCGCAACCTGCCACGCCTCCAAAACCCACCCTTGTGTCGACCCACAGTCGGTTGTAGAAGTCAAGGATTAGGAGGTACCTCTATTGAGATGGGTGTGCAGGGATTTGCCTATACGCTTTCAGCCAGTCGAAAAGTGCTAGTTGCCACTTCCTGTCTGATCTCCTCAAGAAATCTGCTAGGATTTTGAAATCGTCCCACATTGTCATGAATTCATCTTTATCTACAAATGAATTCACTGACTAATGTGGAGAAGTTGAGATGTCAGTGTCTATTTCCGTCCTTCTTCCCCCTTTCCCTCTTTTTTTTTTTGGAAATTACTTACTGGTATTTCAGCTTTGTGTTGTGGGAATGAAAGGTTGTTTACCATTGTTATTAGTCACACTCCCCATAGGGTTGGATTGAAAGAAGCCAAAGTGGTTGTGGACTTCTTGGTGTGTGAATGGCGGGTAAAGTTTCCCCTTGGTTTTTTCTTTTTTTATTGTTTTCTCGATTTTATCTCCTACCAGTAGAGCTGATGTCTGGTTGGCCGGGGTATACCAAGGGAGTCCTTCTATGGTATGATCAGGGATGCCCTGGTCAAATCCTTCTTTTAGACTGACCAGTACATCACCCCATTCTTCGACAAGATCGAGTTCGACCATCAACTCTTTGCATTCAGCAATGTTTAATTTGCACTGGGCTTCCTTTGGCCATCTGCCTGGTTGGACAGGTCTTTGGATAGGTTCAGGTTCAGGAGGGTCTATAGGAAACCTTTCATCGGTTTCTGTATCAGATGATGGTCTTATGAGGAAACGGGCAAGTGGGTCCCAGTCATTTTTGTCTCTCATATCTCTCGGGGGAGCTGGGGGGGGTTCTCTCTGGAGGGGCACATATTCAAGCAATTTGCATTTCTCTAGTCATTTCAGGTCGGCGTGGTGGATTCTATAATACTCACAACTTTTGGCTTGCATCACCTGATGTGTTTGGTCTGCTTGCTTGCGAACTTGAGCCGCCTTGACTCCCACTTCCCCCTTCTCCTTGAGGTCTGTTTCAATTCCCACCGTTCCCTGAACCACCTCTCTTGGCTCCACCTCTTCCTCCTCTGTTTCCGTCTTTCTTGTAGTAAGGATTGAAATTTTCTTTCTTTCCTTTAAAGTTTGGGTTTATTCTCATAGCTGGTTGATCAGCTTGTTGATGTTGGAAGTATGGTTGTTGGTGATTAACCACTGGTTGGGCGTACTGGTGGTAGGCTTGTGGGGTTGACTGATAGGTGGGGTGCTCATGTGATTCGTGTCTATTCTGCGACCAGAGAGTTGATCACACTGATTGTGTTGATCTTGTTGGTTCCAACTTCTCCTCTTTAGTGTCTGTTCGGCTAGGATCATCCCATTTGGTTGTTCTACCTTCCCAATTGGAGCCGTTGAGCGGGTCAATGAAGTGTTTGGTTCCGTTCAAGGCGTACGGGTTATCGAGAAACATGTCATCGTTGTAGCAAAGGGTGTATCTTTCAGCGAGTGGCTGGATCCTTGGGTTGCGTATACTAATATCCGCCATGGAAGTACCATCTTCACCCACTTTGAATACCAAGTAGGTCTGTCGCATCATGAGATCATAGCGGTATGCTAATACCCAACAACCATCATTTTTGTTTTGGATGTCTAGAACTTTCTCGAAATGGGCTTTCATGACGGGAAGGACTTCCATTTGTTTATAACGAGCGAGGTAATGTAGGAACAGATCCTTTTGGCGATGCCACTGTGCGACTGTGGTCCGCCATTTGCTAAGAATTGGAGAACCATTGTACGCCGTTGAGTCAGTGTCTTTAGTTTTTGTACAGGACGATTCATTCAAGACAAAGGCATGTCTTGACGGAGCCATGCGTGATCGAAGATAGACAAGGGGATTTAACGACTAAATTCTTTCAACGCAGTGTCCCCGTAAGGTGAGAGTGCATTTAAGTGGTTGGTGATCATTTCGCCCTTCTGGACTTTCATCGTTTTCCTCTCTGTCGATGACTTGGAGGTTTTTTCTGACATATCAGGAGCTGTTTTGTCGTTTCCTTTTTCTAAGAAGGTCAACCAGGCTTGTTTCTCTGCGCTTAGACGATCATAGGTTTGACGATCTTTGTCTTTGAAGGCTTTCTCGATTGCTTCCTCTAGGCGTAGAGTTACGCTATTGGTCGCAGAAGGAGTAGTTGCCATTTGGTTGTTTCCTACTGTTGTGAGAATCATTTGCACACAGGCTTTCGGTTCGTTTCCAATTTTATCTCTTCTTTTTTCTTTTTTTTTCCCTTTGGGATTTGGAATTTTGGCAGGTTCTCTATCTCAAGCTGACTCTATTTGTCTTCCTGGCCCCCTTTTTGTTTTTTGGGGGGGTATGTTCATCTCCTTTAGAGGCATTTCCCTAGGGAAGGATAAGTTTTATTGGGGGGGTAGAGGTATTTTGTGCTAGACGTGGTCTATTTGCTTGGGGTAGGAATGTGATAGGAGGGTAGGATGAAGGAAATTGTTTTTCGATTCTGAAACTGTGAGTCTCCAACTAACCTTCTTCAATATCTCCTAGGAGTATTCCCCCCACAGTTCATGCTTGGGGGCGGTTATCATTCCTACTTGTATCATTCCATACATTGACTTCTGCAACTCCACCGTCATCTTCATCGTCTTCTTCTGACGTTGCTTCTTCTTGATTGTCATCAATTATGATTTCAGCAGGGTATTGAGCTGGAGGATTCTTTCCTCCTTGACGTTTAGTTGGAGCTTCCTTGGGTTTCAATTGAGTACCAATAGCCTCTTGCGGTGGGGCCTCTTCTGCTTGGTTGTTCAAGGTTGTTTTTGGTTTCTTAATGCGTATCGGGCCTACTGGTTTTGGTTTGGTTGTTGCAGGAGGTGGGAATGGTTTGGGGGCGGCTTTTTTCCGTTTAGATTTTCTAGTGGTTGGGGGTGTTTTCTCTCTTCCACTTGTTCCGGGTACTAAGTTGTCTCCGTCTTGTTCTGCTCCAACTCCTCCTGCTTCTTGTTCTTCTTGCTCATTCCTTGCATTCTCCTCATTTTCCACTCCTTTCCCTTTCTCTTGCCCTTGCTCTTTCCTTAAGGTTTTGTCGATCTGATCTTGAAATTGTTCGCTGTCCATAGTTTATTCCGATGATGGGGATGTCTGATAACTGTGGTACGTATTGTGTTATGGTGACTGAATTTAGAGATGAGAGAGAAGATCCAGAGTTCATTGATAAGAATCAGAGTTTGAAGATTATAGATAAGGTATGAAGATTGTGGGGTAGAAAGTCTCTAGGTTTATCTTGCAGATTGGTGTTCTTGCTGTTGCGCTTGTAAGTGATTATGAGGAACGCTAAAACTGAAAAAAAATTATGCTTAAACAACTTGAAGAGCTTGGATGCTCTATCTCTACGACTGAGGTGCAAGGAAAAAGATTGGTAGAGCAAGGGGAAATTTTTGTTCCTCTCTCTGTATCTTTTGACCCACCCAACCTTGTTGTGTATGTCTTGTTACATGTGCACCTAGTTGAGAACTTACCCTTCTAGCTACAATAGAAGTGCTTTAACATGTCGTGCCTTTGGTGGTAAGCTTCAATTTAATATCAATTCTGACCTGTAAGGTTTGATCAGGTCAAAGATAAAAATGAGGAAAGAGATCAACACTTTTGGTCTTTGATCTAAAGCTAGCACTGTCATGATTCAGATGAAATAGGAACAAAGGGAATCAATAGTAACAGTTAGTATTATATAAGAAGAGTCAATAGAAAAGATAGAGAGTATTGATAGAATTAGTTTAATAGAATGAATTGAGGTGTGTGATAGTATAAAGGGATTTGACTTACTCTTTTCCTCCCTTAGAATAACGGATGAGGAAAAAGAGTATGTCTGTGTGGAGGGATCAGCACTAGATAAGTTTGAGATAATTAGGGTTTGACCTTAAGGTTGAATATTAGAGTTAAAGTTTGAGCAGAATGAGCTTAATTTGTTAACATACGTAATGTGGCCTTTAGTCCATTAACAATGTCTGAAACACTTAATAATAGATACTAAGGTGTATCTCAACAGTACATGCAATTGATATGGTTCAAAGAGGATTTGCGCTCATTCAGATTCCCAATTAGTTTGCAACCTGTTCAACTCACACTATCCTAATAGGATTTTTGATGTAAAATTCATGTGCATATCAAAAGATGTTAATAGTTCAGCCAACAAGTTGCCTTGTCAAAAGATTGACTAACAGTGATGCAACTAGAAGCCCTTTCTCTCAGGATAGCAGCATCCTTAGTAATATTATTTCAACTCAATCCTAAATTAGTGTCATGACTTGGAGGTCTAGAAGCAAATCTATCAGAATCAAAGTTTTACTTAGGTACCACATCATGAGTAAATCCAAAAAGAATGTGGCTATCATGAATATATCTTTAGATGAACTTTGGAAAATCTCAAATGAAGATCAATGTTCTACTATTGCAAAAATATCTTTAGCTAAGTACAAGTGTGGTTTTAAAAGTTTTGCAAAATTCTATACCAAGATTCATCTACCTTTCATTCCTACTAGTATAAACTTATGTGAGTATGTTTCCTATACTAGTCAAATGATTTCTCCTAGATCTGTTCAAGCCTATTTAGTAGGTATTGCGCATATTTGAACCAAATCCTTTTTTTAAATGTTGTGAATCAAGGCCTCAAGATTTGATTGACACAATGAATCACTGTTGAAAGAACCTCTCAAAACCAGTGGTTAGGAAGAAAGCATTATTAGTCTCTCAAATTGAAGAAGTCATCAAAAAATTGTCATCAGCGCACAACAATAAATTATTCTTAGCCATGCTTGGATTGGGGTTTGGGGGTCTCCATCAATTGGGAGAGCTAACAGTTCCAGACTCCAACAAACATCTATGCTGAGAGTAAAATTATCTTATGTTGTGCTCTTCAATTTTCAGTTTGCAAAAAATTTGTTCAATACCATCTTCCATACTCAAAGGGCAATACCAAGTTTTTAGGTACACCAGTTATCATTTAGTATTTCAAAAACACAGTGGCTTGTCCTATGTGTCTCACCAAATCATATTTAAGGAGACACAAATTTCATTCCATCTCCTGAATCATTTCTTACATTGGGGGGGGTTCTCCATCTTTCTCCTGGTTCCTTCAATATTTCTATTCTCATTTTGATAAATCATATTCCGGTAATTCATTAAGGTCTGGTGGGGCTTCAGCTCTGGTACAATTGACAATGGACTACATCAAGAGTGCGGGTAGATGGTCTTCAGATGCTTTTCTCATATATGTATGTGGTCATGCAGCTCTGTGTCTACCAGAAAACCAGAATCACGTAATTGGACATGTTACGCTTGTCTGTTTAAAAGTCATATTCAAATAGTAAGTCTGAGTTTTGGAATTGTTAGACTTGTTTATGGCCAAGACTATTAGCCTTTATAAGTCTTCATATGGTTGATGGTGTTTCAGCCTTTTATTTTTGGTTAATGGCTATAGCCTTTTTGTGTGGTTAATGGCATTTATCCTATCACATTTTATGCTTCATGCATATGGCTTCTGTCTTGTTGTAGATAAATGTGCATTTTGGTTATTGTTACTGACAAACATTTGATATTTTTTCCTCTCCTTCTTCACCACTCTTTTTGTACACTGGTAAGCGGGTTGGAGAGGGTGTGTTTCATCATTTAATATTATCACCCTCATCTTAAGCCTTGGGATTCACACCAAAACCTGCTTTTTTTGTTTTTTTTACCAATCAGACAGTGAGTTTTAATGTCCCATTTCCCAAAAAAGACACAGTACCGCACTTCAACATCAGTTTTGTAAGCAGATGGTTTGATGATTGAATGCATAGCTCTTTGGCTCTTAGCTTTAAAGACTACTAGAGCCAACTGACGCTTGTCTAGATAAATGATCACAAGTATACAATTTGGTCTTTTGTTATCTTGTTCATATGTAGGGGAAGTTGAAGATTAGTTTTCTGAAAACCATTCATGCTTGATTCCAATTTCATCTTTTCATGTTCTTTCAAATTCAATCACTTCTTTAAAACAAAGCCTTCACATATCATAAGTCTGATAAGACTTTGTGAAACAAGTAGTATTTAAACTTTTCCTAAGTGATTTAATAATTTTCACAGATCTAGTTGTGAGATCCTTTAAAGAACTTAATTATTGGCCATATCCTCAACTGAGACAATTGTACTCCAAAGTGATCTTGTAGATTTGATCCACTTGTAAAGTGAACAATCTATACTTGGTCCAAGATAAACCAGTTGATCGACTTTACCAAGATGAAACCCTATTATATGAAATCTTCTTGCTGTTTATCAACTCTGATGGAACTTTACAGCTTTCCTTATCATCTGCTCTTTTCTTATAAGAGCATCTCTCAAATTGTCAGATGTATAGATATGTATTTATACATTTGGGAAAAGGTTGCAACCAATCACAAATTTGTAGATCAAATACTTGAACATAATCACTATTGTATCAGATAAATCAATATAGCCTTTCATGTCTTGGTACCAACCAGGTGGTCTTGGTAGTAAAACTCAAAAGAGTGGTCTATAAATACAACATTGATTCAATATTTGAAAAAATATTGAGATTTTTCTGACGAGTTTAGCTATTTGCTTCGTAGCTTTTGATTTTCATCAAAGTCTTCATTGAAGTTGAGTGAATTGATGACCCAGAAGAATGATACTTATGCTGATCAGTCACTTTTCTAGAATCTTTCCAAGCTTGAAGCTGGGCAGGATTCTCACTGTCACATTGAATAAAATTGTTCATTCTTCGTAAACTGTCTATGCCTTGGCCTCACTCTTGGAACTTCGAGCATACATTTTTATGCGCTTCCTTGAAGTGTCTCTTCTTGCGAGCCTCCAACAAAGATTTTGGACTTCTGCCGCCGCGCCCACCTCAGCCACCAGAGGTGATGTTCATGGGCGTGCACTTGCACATCGTGTCAGCACAGCTTGGCATGCGCCACTCGATTTAGCATTGAGCGACGGATTGATGATAGAATGAGACTTAACCTAACTTTAACCTATCACGAGGCTCCAGAATTATCCGTATCGGTCCCACCCATCCCCACAAGGTATCACTAACACCCTAGGCCAGACGACGAACCTCGATATCATCCACGCCACTTCAACCTCAACCAAAACTCTCGAACCATGGTAAGTCAAATCTCCATGCACCTATTGAACCCGCTCTGTGGCCCCATCTAACCGGATAACCGCCTGGCCACTGTCGTTAGGAATCATCCAGCAAAACCCAATGCAAACTTGCCCGTGTTGTGAAGACACTCGGAAAAACTGGTTCCCGAGGAGGTATCATGCAATGCCGAGTCGAATTCATGGATGACTCATCTCGATCTATCATTCGAAACGTCAAAGGAGCTGTCCGAGAGAACGATATCTTGGCACTCTTGGAATGCGAACGAGAGGCCCGGTAAGTCTTATAAAACTCAACCACAGTTTCCGACGCTTCACCGACCATATCGAATTGACAATCTGGCTAATATTTCATCACAGTCGTCTACGATAATTCTGCTCTTCTGCTCCTGTCAAAACTTTGCTCTTATTTTGGTTTTGAGATGTACCTTCGACAGACCGTGATCCATGAATCCCTCCGATATCTCGTTCGCTCGAAGGAATTTGTTAGGACCTTCGGCATACCTTGAAGATCTTTGGTACTCATTGAAACTTGACATTTGCAAATCCTTGCTCGCTTGATAAACCTTCGACAAAACCCGCGCGTAGTATTGTAATTGATTCAGGTGGTGCTATCTTCGTTAAGAATTTTGATTTAAATTTTACATGTCTTTTTAGAACCTTGCCATGATAACGAGACTCGCCGTTTAGCACATCTCGTGGTCTGAGAACTTAGATAGACCAGTGACACGATTGCTAGCACTTCAAGATGGATGACTGACGCCCGAGTATTCTCTGCCATAATGACTTGATATCAAAAATAACTTGACTCATTTCAGTGCCTGATTGTCCATGCCACCTCACGGTACTACACCACCAATTATCTGCTCGGCTCCGAGCGCCAGCGCTTGTCTGGTGTTTATGAATCACCCGCACACTCTGAAGTCCAACTGCCATTTATGGGGGGTCCCCTGTTTCATCGCTCATTTCCCAAATACTCACATTGAATCACATGAACATTGACTCGCATCCTCTGTGCATTTCACCGCGTCCAAATCAGACCGTCTTGACGTCAAGACGGTCAAAAGGCCACAAATTATCAGAACTTTGTCAGAACTTTGTCACTCGACAAATGCCTTAGCAATTGCTGAGGAATACTTGATCGTGAAGCTCTCAAACTGAGGCTTGCTTGATCCTTAGGGCCTCAGTCCCAGACTCACTCTTGGCTGAGATGCTTGAATTCAAGAGTTCAACCTGTTCATTCACTTCTGAAAACGCTTTTGATCAGAATTTGCACATTGCCTATGTCCTCAAAAATATATTTGAATACCGATGAACAGGGAGGCGGTACAACGGTCTTCCTCGCGTTTCCTGATTGTCTACCCGGCTCTCGGTCCCCAGCGTCTCGGGAAGTGATGCATAGAGAAAAGTCCAAACATCTTGCAGCTCTGAGTCTGGGTCAGTCATCAAAGATCATCTCAAGATCAGTGCTTTCAGAAGTAAAATCAGATTGAACAAGGACAGAAACAATTCATTCGGATCCAGGTCTATCGAATGCATCAATGGATGGACAAGAAAGGGAAGAAAGACCATGGCGGATGGCACGACATCAGATGGTTGACCAAGAGATGGAATTAGAAGATACTAGTAATGATGATTATCCAAGGATCAAAAACATCAAAAAAATCTTTGATCAGTCTCCTAATAATAAGTTTGTTTCGATGGTTATTAAATTATTCTTCAATTGCTTGGTCAAATGAAACTTGGAGAATTGGGTCCGATAGGATTGATTGGGATCATCAAATCATACATGTTACTGGTGGCTCCGATGGTTTAGGTAGAGTAATTACTGAAACTTTGGCTATTAAGAATATGAGGTTTTTTTGGGATATTAGACCTCTTACTGCAAATCCATCTGACTCAGGTTAGCTTTTTTTGGTTATGGACTCACTATTATTCAAATCAAGCTTGTCATTGACTTTGGTTGTCTTTATCTCTAGATGTCCATCACTATGAGTGCGACATATCGGATGCGAAAGCTGTAGAAGCTGTAGCTGATCGAGTCAAAAACGAAGTAGGAGATCCAACAATCATTATCAATAACGTTGAAGTAGCGAATGGAACATTTATCATCGATCTTAATCCTAGTGAAATTCAGCGGTTTGCCACTTTGTCTTATAAACAATCTCATTGGAAATCATAACTGACAATCACGATGTACCTCTTAACCACTTTGTAGGAGCTTTGGAGTGAATATAATGGCTCATTTTCACCTCTTGAAGGCTTTCTTACCAACATTAATTGAACTAAAGAACGGATACATCGTCAGTACGATTTCTATTGTGAATCTTGATATCATCACTAAACTCATCGCGATCATCTGTTTCTACTTGTTCTTGTCATCTCAGGTCACTGTAGCTTCAATTTTAGGCACTTTTGGCATCTGTCAAGCTTCAGATTACTGTACTTCAAAAGCAGCTGTTTTGAGTTTACATGAATCACTTGAACTAGATTGTAGGTTCCTAAATATCCTCATTCCCACTGTATCTTTCTTTATTGAGTGAACAGAAAGATAGTAACATGAACCAAAAAAATGAATATCAGTGTTCAGGGGTTCGTGCCACTTAAGTAAGTCCAGGTAGATTGGAAACCAAAATGTTTGGACCCTGTAAGTTTTATTATTATTTAAGACCTATCGAACTATTCAACTTCCAATCCAAAAAACTAATCAAATTTTGCTAGAACTTCTCATTAAGAAGTAAGACCACAGAACCCATTTTTATTCCCACAAGTTTTACCTCATGATCTAGCCAAACTGGACATTTGAACATTAGGTTCATAAGTTTATCTGAATCATCAAAGTGTTTCCTTCTTGGTTGAAAGATTTGGCTCATTGGTTTGCTGGCTCTACTGAGGCTGTGATCGATTTCAATAAGTGAAACCAGTCAGTTTTGGGGGATAAATAGATTGTGTGTGTTTTGTGCATACCTTTTTTTCAAAAAGTAGTATGAGGCACCACAAATGGCATTAGGTGTAGTTCCTTTATAATATTTGATTGCTTAAGAATCTAAAGAATGAAGATTCCGAGCGATTTTTCAGTGTGATTCATAAGAAAGTCGATGATGTTATGAATTTGAGGGAAATTTTGAACACAAAAGTCTAGATGAAATCTCTGATTCCCTCCTAAAAAAACTCACAAGATGTGGAAAGAGAATAGTTCATCACATCACTCATAGAGTTTAGAAGTATTGGAATAGATAGAACAGTGGGCAGTGAGAACCTTCTCTTTTATTCTTTTAATTTACACTTATTCATTTCATTGAGATAAAATCCTTTTGGAGTAAAAAATCAGTCCTACTCACCGTGTCCGGGACGTTCGCTCTTCGACGAGCGCGCACGACTTCCCTTTCTGCCTCAAAGGGAGTTGGTGTGCGCTCGTTGACTAGCAAATCCTACACAGACACGGTGTACTAAGCATCTAAAACTGACTTTGATTCACAACTCTGGGATGTTAATTGGATATGGGTCCACATCAAACGATACAAAAATGTTTTTTTGACAATTTCAAAGGTAATGAATCATTTCATCTTAGCCATCTTGTTTTTTGACAGAGTGGATATACATTTCATATCACCATATGCTGTTGAAACGAAAAGTACACTGGTTTTCGAATCGAATGTCTCTCTAATTTGATTACTAGTGGAGCTGTACAGTGTCCCTGGGTGGCCATACCCAGTATTGTATCTGGGCAGAGGCCTTCGGATCACCCGTCTGTTCATTGGTACACCTTATTGAGCAGTGTGACATGGTAAAACTTTTGTATCGGTCCAAGATCTCCCTCAAGCTATTTGCGCAAGATTATGCCAGCAAATAAAGCACAGGTTTTGAACCCCATATACCCTTATGATTTGTCTCTCAATGTCAATTGACAAGACCGAAACACAAAGCGTACCAGAGTCTTCCTATACACAATTTTGATTCAGTCTCTTACTTAGTGGTCTAGCTCGTTAGATCACTTGCTCATGATTTTAATGGTGCACTGCCTAGTTACACTTATTGTTGATCTTAGAGGTGTGCTCAGGTTTGGCTGAACTTGCCAATTGCTAAACAACGCAGCGGCCCTCTAAGGTAGCTCGGATCAAAGCTCTGAGCTCAGATTGAAGCTGCTGAACTGGGGCAGGGAACAATTGACACACTTTCTGAAGAACAATATGCATGCCTTCTGACTGTCTCGACGTTGAGACGGTCAGTGGCAGACGCAGTGTTTGTTTCGTGAATGACTTGTTTTGAAATTTTCATTTGTTATGTAGTCCGAAAAGCTGAACACATGTGCCACACCAAATTTGATTGGATGTCGAATTTCCTTTCTTCAGAAAAGAGAGCAACAACAGTATCCAGAACCACACACCTAAGCATACCAAACACCATGTGTTTGTCAAGCTGCACAGATACAGTCTTTGGTTATGATAGGGGTAAAACATCTGCATTCATTTGATCAGGAGCACCCTGTTTTGTATACCTATCCACCACGGGTAAGTCAACTCATAGTAGGAGGAGCAGAGCAAGCCCTGAGAGTCAAGTTCAAAGGATGTAGGTACACAGCCAAAACACAGGATTCTCTTTGTTGTTATTGCTCTGGTAGATCTAGAATGATTTTCACCTCATGCCTAAGCACATTTTAGTCAAGGGGCTAAAACTATGATGATGTTTGCAGTGCAAGTAAATATGCCTGTGTCTTTTAGCAAGTCTGGCACCAATGAGTCACATGTCTTTTCTGTGTATACTTGAATGTATTTACTTTTTGGTTGGAAAATGAAGTTATGTCCCTTGATAAGCTTATATGCTAGTGTTATCAAACAAGGCTCAATTCCCAGTATACTGTATGCTTTAAATAATTTCAAGATTCTAGCAGACTTCACCTTCCACATTCATGTGACTAAAACAGTTCTTTTCAATGTTCAGTCATGTGAGTATGTCATAGAAACTCTTTTGAGGCAAAAATGTAGTGGTCTCTGAGCATCAAATACTTGGAGAACAGATATGGTATCATTGGCAACTCCTTCAATGCCAGCCACTATATGACAAGATTTAGCGTATGAAATAATGATGAGGGTATGATAGATAAGATTTCAAAAATTCCGATTTCCGGGGAATACAAACTCATAGGTTAGAAGAACCTTTCAAAAACAACTTGGGTACTTTAAGAGTCAAGCAAAGATAGTAGGGTATATAATCAACAAAACGTATTCTTCAAGCTTTGATTGGCCTTCAATCATCCAGTTTGACTAGATATTCAATTTCAATCCTTCACGACATGCTTCGGCTGGGGTTTTCCCAGTGGAAATCAATGATTTCACCTCTACATAGCAAATTCATCATGAAGCTATGTGAGCGATTGTCTGAATCAAACTAGAAAATTGTAAAAGAAAAAACAAACCTGGAAGGCGTAAATCACAAATTGGGATCGGGAAAGAACATACAGAGGTCCCATCCGGTAGCAGAATCCTATGGATAGATTAACACTGTCTCAGTACACGATTTGAAGAAGAAATCTTTCTGGTGGGATCAATGATACAAACAGTCCACAGTACTCACATAGACGACAAAGGATCTTTGTTTAGCAAAGTCGAGTTATTGTTTGGCAGACCACCAGTCGGGATGGTAGCGTTCATAGCGGGAACAGTTTGCGAAGAGTTCACATTAGGAATGTTTTGCAATAATGCTGGACCACTCTTGACTACAGGTAGAGATCCGCTGGCTAAACCTGCTTGACTGGATAGTTGGGCTTGACACTCGGTAGCCAAACCAACTAGGAACTTGGTCGAGTAGCTGTACTTTGAGAATATGAGTCGACCGTTTCGGACACTGTAATCGATCTTCTTGCCGTCGACCCTTCCTAAGCTGGTTTTTCTGTCTCCACATAAAATAATGAGCTTCGACAATACTCCCTAGAATTGACTTGGTTAGGGATAGAGTACTTACACTCCTTCTGGGCTGCAATAATGTACCGCTTCTGGGTTTTTCAATGGTGTAGTTGGTCCCTCGTCTTTGCAAGGTACCTGAAATGATGCGCGTCAGCACATAAAATAATTATTTGTTGCGAGAAAGTGCAAACTCACGCTATCGATCACAAACATCATATTCTGAGGAAAGCCAGACGTCAACAATTTACATACGTGAAAGACTTGATCGAAAGATTCTCACTATTGATTTGAACAACTGAGCCAATGCACCAAGTTGCGCAGCTTCAGCAAAGTTATTTTGAAGAACGGCTCTCGGAGGATGATCGGATAAGAAGGTGCCGTTTTGTAGAGCGCCAAATATACCATCTTTTGAGCTTATGGGTGACGTGAGAGTCAATTCGTCCGTCAAAGAGAGTAAGGCCTGGAGACGATCCTGAAGTGTGCTCAAGTGTGCGTTCACGGTCGACCACTTTTATCGCAAGATAACATGTTCAATGACGAAAAAGTCAGACATGTCGAATTGAGGTTATAGTCGATATAGAGAGGATATTCACCATCTGGAACTTATCATGAGTTACCTCATGTGAATGACGACGTCGTAGCCTGATGTTTCAAACCACCAAGTCAGATAATAGTCAATATGCCCCAAAACTAAATGATGTTCACCTAGGGTTACCACCAGTTGCGGCTATATCTGCCTTCAGATTGTTAGTCAATTGTGCGTTTGTTCCTTGGACTTCTGCTTCTGGAACGGCGGCTGAAGCTTTCTGAGCGGCAACTTGGGCTTCTGTTTCAGCTGTTTCCGCCACCAAAGCCGATTCTTTTGCAGCTCCCTGTGCTGAAGCTTGTAGTGCGGCTTCAGATGTCCCTGAAGCTAGCCCTTCACCTATAGCAGCTGTACCCGCACCAGCAGCAGCTCCTTCTGCCGCTAGTTCCGATGTACCAACCGCTGCGACAGTCTCTTCTGCTCCCATACTCGTCAACCATGTCCAGGCGGCCGCAATCCCAGTACCGGTAGTGGTAGCTGAGACCCATATCGTGCTCCAAGTCAGAACTAGGACTCTCCAAAGGATTGGCATAATCAGAGCCGTCGTGAAACCCAGCATTATCACACTGGAAAGACCCAGCAAGCCAAGAGTGAGACCCATGAGGATCTTCTTATCGTCGTCCTCGGGCAGACTAAGGTGGAGTCAAAAAATCTAGGTCAGAAAACTAGGATATGCAAGAATCATAAGTGTTTTTGGGCTCACAAATCTGCAACCATTGCAGCAGCTGATCCTGTAGATTTCAACAGAAGGCGATAGTACATGTCATCAGTGACTGAGAAATAATCCAATCATTGAGTATGATATCACCTTGCACTGTAGACATAGCAGATCCAACGGCATCATACATTGAGTTGGTGTAGAAATTCCACTCTTGTAAGGCTGAGAGTACGACCCAATCACGACCACGAACTGGGTGACATAACTGAAAGTATTTTCAGTTTTTTAGTACGGGCTTGGTCCCTTTGGTTTAAATGATGAACGCACTTGTCCAGAAAGGCACGTTGAGCCAATCCCACATTCGAAATTCATGACTTTCAAGGCGCGAGTATAATCCTGAAGGGCGCACGATTTGTTAGGATGTTATGAGGAATACAACTTGGGATGAAGTTTTACAGTACTGACCGCAACAGACATATTCATTCCCCCGGGGTAGTGAAGCAGGTAATTGTCCATGCCGAGTTCGGCCCACGTTCCTCGGTTGAGCGCATATCCAGCGCAATCTGTGGAAATATCGTGATTTTCTGTGAATTGACGAGGGTGAATTTTTTGGTTATCGTGCGGATGACTCTCGCTCAACGCCGGACTGGCGAGAACTGTGAGTATGAGATAAGTGATTCGATTTGGAGCCATGGTATCGGGTTTCGGGTTGGACTACCCAGGCAATGAAGAAACGACGGGGTGGACCTTCGAGTGATTGATGACGGACACCAAGGAAGAGCGATAAGCAAAATGTCTGCTGATGAATGAATGATAGGAAATGGAATGACGGATTTTTGTTGTACGATAACTCAAACTCGTGGTCGAAAGATATGGCTATCGCATTGCTTCTGATGTGATAGCAATCTCTAATCACGCCTGAAGTCGGATGCGCTACAGGAACACGATCTTTACCATTCCATTCATGGTGAGACGTGTCATAGAGTTGAGGATTGATGCGCAAAACTCTAGAAGACGGCAGATAAGCAGTCCAAGGCTCATTACAGCTCGATACATGAAAGGATGCAACGTTTGAGGCTATTGACTCCATGGCCCAATACGGGAAGCCCATATCGCCGCAGGCTCGGCGGAAGCCTGTCTATGATCAGATGTCGGACCAAGCCGGATTCTGATCCCTTTGACGAACGTAACAACGTAACAAAGTTTTGTATCATCGAAGTCAACAGATATACGCAGGGATTCAGATTTGTCTGAACCGCTTCAGTCCTCATAACCAAGTAAGAGAGACACTTTGGAAAGCTTTAAAGACTCTCCTTAAGCGACAGATAGCGTCACTAAATAGATGTAAAGCAAATCAACTATTGTGCTTGAGGGTAGTGACTCGAAGACTATACGGCGGATCGATGTAATGAAATTGCTTGAGATGAAGGTCAATTAAAACTGGACTCCAATCGAAGTATGTACAATACAAAGCATGACAGAGCCAGAGGTGTCTTCTGCCTTGATATACATACATACCTTTTCAAATCAATAGTCCAAACGAAACGAATATCAAGGAACAAAACTCGTCTTTTGACCTACATACTCTTCGTTGCAGCCTTCCTCAGTCTGAGGATATTCTAGTCAAAAGCAATATTCATCTACCCAGGACGATTTCCGTGATCAGGGTTGAACTTCGATCACTCTTGGGATACTACATTGAACGCTCACAAAATCTTTGAGCACGGGTGGCTGATGGGTAAATGCCGCCCAGTGTGTCCATGGACTGATAAAGGTGCCTCCGATTATAAATTGTACAGTACATAAACAAGGAAAAAATGTATCAAAGCATCTCATCATCTACCAGATGCAATCCGAGCCAAGCTTCCTTCCTCACTAGCTTCCGCTTCTTCGATAGAGTCACTCTGTCCAATCGCCCGTAGAACAGACTTCTTGGAGGATTCCTGGAGTTCTCCCGCAATGATCAATTCGTCAAGGATAGCATATGCCCTTTGAAAATTGAAGATCAAATCTAACTCGCAAACCTGTCGTCGGGAACACCCAAAAATGAGCATCAGTCAACTAGGTAGGACGGATAGATGATAGAAGCCAAATCTTCTCACATTTCCAAAGTAACGGTCAAGGACTTCGACGTAGCGATGAATGATTTCAAGGGTGATGAGTTCATTATCTGCCTGCCCGATTCCCGTCACAAAGAAAAGAGATGCATATCGTCTATAAACTACCTTGGAATCTACGCAATGATATAAATTGGTCAGCAAAGCGGCCCAGAAACTGTGATTCAGTTTTGATAGAAACAGGTTTGCATCACTGAAAGAACTCTTCAGGATGACAGCCCAGAAAGAATCAGATGAATGGAATCACATACCTTTATATTCTAAGAAGTTACACATTCTCGTCCGACGAGCTAAGACGAGTTGGGTTACATCTTTTACAATTTTGGCTTTGAGCTTGGGTGCCATTGTAGTGAACCATTTTGCAAGTCGCACTTTGCCTTGTCTAGAAACGAGAAGAACGTAGTTGATCTAGGAAGCAGGATTAATTTGATATATCAGCTATAGGACAGAGAACCAGAACTTACTGCCATCTCCAGCCAGCTGATCGATTGTACCTTGCGCGACAGCTCAGTCTCAGCTTGGAAGTCCCAGCGATCAGAAACGTAAGTGGCTAGGTCATACCTCACTGTAATCTGTTAAGTGTTTTGTACCCTTTGTAGGCAAAACAGGCTGTATTCAGATTTCTTGCAGCTTCAGCTCCCCCACGGGGCCGGCCCGAGCTGAGATTCATGGCTCCGTTTTTTGTCTTCCTTTCTTCTTCTGCCAATTCTCACTGTTGTCTTTGGTCTTAATTTTTTGCATGATATCCATGAGTTTGTAGAAGTGCTTTATTCCCACAATTGGAGGATGCTTTTTCAAGGGAGGTTCCCGAAGTTCCGCGGAAACGACCATGCCCTCGTTACATAATTGCACGATCACGATTCACCACTAGCCAGATTCCTTTTCGCCCAATGCTGAAGAAAAAGAGGTCGCACCTTTTATCAGACGCGTGTGAGCGCCAAGTACAACTGCGACCCCCACCCTAACAGGTTTACACAGCACTTTATAGACTTCACGGGCCCCAGGTTTCTACATAGTCTCTCCACTATCTCGTAATCCAGGGTCATTCTCCACTGTCGTCTGCTATTTTTCAAATTCAAGGCAGTTAAGGTGGAAGTTATGTACCACTTTTCTTCTTTCAATCAACCCTGGGCCAGCAACGCAGGTGTTGCGTGCTGCGCTGCGGTTGCGTTGCGGTTTTTCTGACCGCACCGCACCGTAGAATAAATTTTTAGGTTGCGGCCTGACCCGCAGCGCAACAAGATCACTCAGATTGGTGTTTTTTTTGGGCCGCAACAACGTTTGTTGCGTTGCTGCCCTCAAAAACTTACAAATTGCCGTTTTTTTGGGGCTGTTGCGCCTGTTGCGTTGCGCAACTGTCGAGGCGCCGCGCAGCCTAGCCTTGACTTTTGTTGTTGTGGTACTTCCCGCAACGCAGCGTCTGCTGCTTGTTGGTGTTGCGTGTTGCGGAGCAACGCATCAAAAAACGGGTGTGCTGCGGCGCGTTGCGTTGCTGGCACAGGGTTGTTTCAATTTGATAAATGTTGTAGGATAGTTGAAAACTGGTCCCGTCAAAAAGAATTAGTTGAATGCAGAGAGGGCTCCACATCTCCACACGTCATAATAGGTATCCTCCGATTTCGAGATTAGGGTTCGAAAAGAGACCTCTTACATAAAAAGACTCGGTTTTTTGTCCACTCTGAGCCTATCTGATCTCCGCTGTCAATTGTTTTTCGGGGACGGGATCAAGACCAAGTACACATACAGCAGACATCAGAGCCTAGAGGTGATTTAGTTCAAGCATTCTATGTTTGTTGAATTTCATACGTCACCCTATCAACATCAATGCACTCCATGATGGTTAGCATGCTCATAGGACCCAGGAATGCACCTGTGGATGTTAGTGACCAAAAAGGTGGGTTTTGGGGGCGAAAATTTCCACATGTACATGACTAAAAAGGGGATTTTTGGCCGTTTTTGGCCAAAATGTGTGTGACGCGAAAGGGGAGTTTTGAGGTCCCCAAATTTGATGTGCGTGACGTGCGAGGGGAGTTTTAACCCATCAGGGTTAGGTTTCCGCCTGTTCCCAGGAGCTAGCCGGAGGCTGAAAGACTTCCTTGACATTCTCAAGACAGTCGAGATCTTCCAGGTTTACAGCCATTTACAGCTTTTTCTTAACTTTGTTCTTCAACTCTGAATACTCTGATTGTATCAGCCACCGTAGCCGCATAAACTCAAACAGTTTCAAACTATTCAAACGATGTTGTCCTTTAATTAAACCCTCAACAAGATCATCAGCCTTTGCAACAACTTCCCTGCTCTTCGAGAAGGTACCCATGAAGATCAAACGTACAAGATCTTCTCAAATCCTCCAATTGCCGATAAAGAGGAAGGAATGTGGTACACGGTCAACTGTAGTCTTGATGCTGTCTTCGGTCAAGACTGTATCAAAAAAGAATTATCAAAAGGTCCCCTTGGACTTTCAATCGTGGTGGAATGGATTCGAAAGGCTCAAAACCACCACACGTGGGATGGTGATTCTGAAAACCTTGTGAAGGTCAAGCTGGACAATATTATATCTGCGCTTAAAGGTGAGATTATACATGCGCGTAAAAGATGAAAAGAGTTGAAACTGATTCAAATTTGAGTTTAAATTTGGTCAGATGCCGGAGCGGAAGATGTTGAAGTTGACGAGGTCAAAGTTGATGAGCACCACGGTTCAAACGTGGGCAAAAAACGACGAGTGGTATCTTCCCATACCCCCAAGTCTTCAACCAAAAAGACTCGAACCGGATCTAGCAATAAATCAAGTGTGATTGTGCTGTCCTCTGATGATGACGGCGATCTGCAGTTCATTAGATCCTCTTCGACAAAAAAACAACAACCGATTCGCCAGATCAAGCAATCCAAAGTTGTTGAATTGTGCCCATTATCGAAAGCTGGCGAGGAATGTAACAGATGCCGGGTGGAGGACCAGGTTGGAGGTAAAAACTTCAACTGCCACTGTGGTGCCAAAACCATTTGGCTTAATGGTGGCCGTGTTAGACCAGCAACAGCTCACTGGTCCACCGGTAAGATTTTCATTTCATGTTGATTCTTGATATTTGGCCCGATATTTACATTTGTGTTTTCTAACAGAGACATGTAAAAACAAAACCGGTGGCCTCAAGAAGACTACGGACTTGACTTCGTTTTTTGGACGGTTGGTAACTTCTAGAAACATGAACACGATATCATGTCCAGGACTCAACGATGTCACTTGGGAACGAGAACGAGCTACACATTCAATCGCAGATTTCATATCAAAAACATGTACTCTCTATCGTGGAAACAATCGACACAAGATCTGCAAGGAACTCTTTGGAAGCCAGGCTCAAGAGAGCCAATTGACTGCTGAGCAGAAATCTCATTTGATCACTACACTCGATGCTCGATCCAAATGGGAAGTCAAGCGCCATGGCGAGCGGAGTTCAATTTACTCAAGCAATTGTGAAAGGACTTTTATTTGCAAAAACACTGAAAAGAACGCTGTCTGTCCAGCTTGTGAAGAACTCAAAGGCCTCCGTAGCTTAATTGGAGCCCTCAATAAAGATTATGCTGAAAAAGACAAGCTCAAGTTCACTCGTGACACCTACTTATCAGATAATATCAATACATTTTCACCCACCTTACTAAAATCTACCGACGCTCGACTCCTTTCAAATTCAGTCGAAAAGGCTTCAAAAGGCGATTTCTCTGACTTTTGCACAGTTCTCGCTGCTTCGGCTCGGAATGGATTGTTTGACAATCGTGATGCAACACGCGGTTTGATTAAGGCCGTTGCGGTGAAGGCTGCACGCGAAAACGCAGGAAAGACCACTCGAGGTATGAAAATTGACTCATGCCTGGATGAATTCGTCATAACACTCGGAGCCATCAGCCCGCGCGCTCTAAACCTCTTCAACGATAACTTCGCAGGACGTGGAAATCGTAGTCTGCGAATGAAGCGAGCGAAAGACGGGATGCATCTAGTCGATGGTCTTCAAATTGTTAATTTCAATTGTATTGCCCAAGTTCTCAAGGATCTTGGTTATTCTGGACCAGTAGCAGCTGCTTCTGACCAGACTGTGTGTGTAAAGCGGCTTCGGCATCATGATGGTCATTTGGTTGGGGCGCAAGGTGGGGATATATCATTTGATGATCCTTCTGAGCTTCCAGCGCTCGTAAAATCAGTGGTCAAAAATAAAGAACTTTGCTCAAAGGTACGTTGGATCTGCTCAATAACACAAACAAGATTTTCGATCACTGATTTCAATTATATCTCATTGACCCAGATTCGAGCTTACACTTTGCAAGTTCCTTTGCCTAATATCCCAACGTTTGTTGTAGCTCTCATCGCTAGTTGCGATAAGGAAACATCAAATGACATCGTAGAAAGCCACCTCAAGTTCTTGGAACTGTCTCAAGAGGCTGGAATCAATATCCTTTCAGTTGGTGCAGACGGCGCACCAACTGAACTTTGCGCTCAAAATGCTCTCACGGATACGGCTTCTCAGTTTATTAGTTACTCGAACTCACGTTACGATGTCCATGTCAAGGTGCCTTTGATCGGTCATCCCCCACGACCCGTTGTAATGGTGCAGGATCCTAAGCACGCTCGTAAAACTGGTGCAAACCAGTTGAGCTCTGGAGCTTGTCTTCTTGTCATGGGTAAATATCATATCTCAATACAGCAGGTTGCTGCTTTACTCCAATCTGGGAATAGTCCGCTACTTCATAAGGACATATTCGATTGCGACAAACAAGATGACGGCCGAGCATTTTGAACATTGAACTCAAGCACCCTAGCAGCTTCACTCGCCCATGATGACATGATGGGTTTGTCAATATATCTATTTGTAGTAGGAGAAATGTGTGATGCGTGGTTAAATCGATGGATTGGCCATCGAGAGCGCATCCGATCAGCTTGGACTGCGGATTTCTTTTTTCGACACTGGAAGAATTACCTCCTCAAACAACAAGCCGAGCCTCATAAGCTAATGAGCTTCGCTCACAACTGCATATCGCCTCAAAGTTTTAAGATTTTTTCAACCCTAGCAACATCTCTACTCCAGCTTGTCATAGCTCATCGAGAGTTTTATCCGACCATCCCTTTGCTCCCTTGGAAACATGGTAGCGAGCCTTGTGAACACGTTTTCGGCTGGATGTGTGTAATATCTCCAAGATTCACCGTTCTCGACGCTAGAATGATGATGCCCAAAATCCATGCCATTGTCAAGAATATCATGTCGGGCAGAATGAAGATACCCTCATCAGAACACATGCATTCTGGATATCAATAAGCCTTCTCTGACAAACCTGACAATGAAAATCTCAAGTTTCTCGCTGAATTCCCAACTGACGAAGAAATCTCGGAAGATCTAGGAATTGCCTATGAACGAGCCAATCAACTTGCGCTGATTTGTGGAATGGGTTCAATCAATCATTTTGTTGATGATGTTCCAGGAGATCTGGATGAATCGAATCAAAATTCGCCCGAAAACTTATCAGTTAAGTAGCTGTTCTTTTTATTCTTCCTTTTTTTCATCGACTTGTATTGACATTGGTGCTACATTAGATATATCGGTTTGTGCCACTCAGCACTATGATATTGAGTATGAATATCAAATCAACCGTTTTCCCGAGAAGCAAGCACTTGAAGCAGCCGCCCACTTAACTAAGGAGCAGAATTCGATCGACCTTTTTCTTGACAGCTTGCCCGAAGATGCTGAAGACAAATGCTTGCAGAACGCAGCGATGTCCATATCCAATCTTCTTAATCCAAAATGTAAGTCCTATCGGTACATTCTGTCATCCTCTACACATGATTGACCGATAACTCTCTTGATTATCTACTAGTACCAGCAGCTGAGCATCACCCTCGATCAAATGACTCCAAAAGCGATGTAGCTATTGGTTCTTTAGTCATTGATGGCAAGCTCTGTGGTGCCAATCTGATAGCTATACGAAAACGCCACGACAGCGAGGTCGTAAAGCATAAGGGAAATGAACGAAATCTCGTTCATCTCGATGATTTGTCTTCAGAATTGACCAGCAAAACAAAGAGTGGTGGCGTAAAACCGAGTGCTTGTTCGAAAATCATCGCTGTATGTTTCAAAAACTTAGAAGAGATCCCTACTGGCGAAGCACGTCGACACCGTTGGGATATAAACGTCAAGATCAATTTGTCTGGTATTCTGAACGACTCTGCCAGTGCTGGTCACGTCCACTTGCAAGGGCTTCTTGATGGAGGGGAAATAAAGCCCTCAAACCCGATCAAACCTGGAAGCTTTATTATTATCATCAAGCATCATGTAAGTCGACTTCACACTGTGATGATTAGAATTTGGATTCTGATCTATTCTCAAAATCTAGACTCTGTATTTGGCTCGAACACTTGTTGTATATAAGCTTGTTAACAAAAAACATGCTTTTGTGACGAGTGCAAATACAAGGAAGGGCTTGTCTCACATTGCAGTACAAATTCTCTTCTACAATCCAACATATCCTGTTGTAACACCATCTCACAACGCAAAATCCAAGGATTTAACATATTCTCTCTTGGATGCTACTGATGTAGTGTATGTTTTTGAGCCTTCTACAGGTTCTACATTCAAGGAAGTTGGCAATGGTTGCTACATGATCCCAACAGTCCTATGTGAAATGCTTGGTTCTATTCATCTTGACAAGTTAGTTGACCGCTACTATAAAGAATTAGCAGTATTGAAATCTCAGCCCAGCAACGGTGAAATTTCTGACTAAGATTTAAAATTATATTTCTTCATGAATTGTTGTATTTCTTCATGCTTGTTTTGTAACTACTCAGGCAATTGAATAAATACAACACTCTAAATGCATAATTGGCACCTGTACGTGCTCTAACAGCGTTTTTTTTTTTTTTGAGGTGGGTTACCAAAAAGGGGACTTTTTCGGGCCAAAAGTCCAAAAACCGGGTTATGTGGGTGACCTGACAGGGGATTATTTGGGAAGTTTTCAGGAGGTGACCAGAAATTCGGAAAAAAGGGGATTTTTTCTCGTCACTAACATCCACAGGTGCATTCCTGGGTCCTATGCTCATATATATCTGGCTCACATTTAAGGTTGTAATGCGGCGGTTCGACACCAAAGCAGCGGATCATGATTCATGATTCTCGATGACTGAAGGCGGGTGCATTTGCATGCGAAACTTATTTGATAGTCATTAAAGATTAATAAACCCGATGGACGTAAAGACTGCTGTGTACATCGTAGACTTAGCGCAACGTGTTCATCGTCCACACACCTTGACCTCACACACCTCGGTCATAAGCGGTCTACATAATCGATCCTTAAGCAGCTTCAGGGGGAGTCGTCAGTCTTCACGTCTCAGACTCTGATAATGTTTGACAGAACTCTGATGATGCTCGTCTCTCTGACGAGTCCGATACAAGCTGTACGTGGTCCGTGTCAGTCCATGTCACATCAGGTCAGATCCATCGAGGTTTGGATATTCATGGTGTGGTCACTGTCAGTTGAAACCTTGTCAAAAATCGTCACTCCTTCGATCATGGTTAGCTTCCGTTAGCTTCTCATCCAAAAATAGAAAGAACACTCTGGTTGCGGTGGTTGCTGAGCAGTTAGCCGATTGAAGATGGAAAGACCAAAGAGTTCATGTTTATGAAACTTTCGGTTGATGGCCTAAATTTGACCCTCATCGTCTCCTTACACCTAAGGATGCAAAGACCGGCGATTCGGAGGACTGTCCTTCTTTTTACAATACGATGCCCTCCCATCACGAGCCTGAACCTAAATGTAACTCTCGGTACTATCCCTGAGAGATGACACCTTACTTTAAAGGGGACTGTCAGAGAGGAATTAAAATCCATTCAAACGCCCCTGTGTCCGATGCACATTCATTTCTTTCGATATGAAAACTTGAGCAAGGGTCTAACCTGGTTGAACGTTCCAAAAGACGTTATCCCCGGGGTCTCTAGGACTTCTGGTTTTCCGTGGAAGTGCTACATTGCATTCAAAGACCAGAACTTACAAATTCAAATTGATCACGCGAGTCGCTTCCATCATGCAACTAAAAATTAGTAATGGCCAAGCTCAATCTACGTGAGACTGAATAATTTTTGGGGGAGTAAAAGATGCGAAGTTCAAGAAGTTTTGGAAAAGACCAATCAAGCCTACAATATATCAACAAAGAATTGAGAAAATGGGTTTATATGACTCATCCAAAGTACCTCCAAATGGATAAAACTTGTACAAGTTGAATCAAAAAACAACAGAGAGACATACTTTCTGGATCGGAATTGTCCGTATCCTGTTTCACATTTAATAATAGATGTCAATCATGTACAATGCGTGGAGGAAAAGATATAAAAACATAAATTGATGAAAGAAATCGCTGAGATGTATATATCAAGCTCCTAGTAACTTCCATGCTAGCTCACAGAAGCCAAGGTGACTATAGATGCGAAAGACGACTGAAATTGCTTCAATGATGAGAAAAAGGGAATTTTTCTTTCGATTTGTTGAAAGCAAGCTCATTAACACACGCCGGTCTCCAGAAACGTTTCGGGAATTAATTGCTTTTTAAGCTGTCTCGTGTAAGCCTTGGTGACGTTTGAGGTTGCTACTGGTGTTGAAAGCCCTGAAGAAGATAAATCAAGAAGATATGTCAACTTCACGGTAGTTTTCATTTAGAGGTTTAGAAGCTCTCAAGGTCTGATAAAAAGACTTACTTGTTGCACACATTGCATACATATCTAGTCTCACGAAAAGAAACCCGATTCGGGAGAAACAACATCTCAGCACATTCAAAACTGGAATGTCTGTTGTATCATGATTCAAGTGGCACAGAATTTAAGCTTGAGAATTTCATCACTTACGGTCTTTCGCCTGTGTGGGTGAACTCATGTTGAGCCAGAGAAGAAGGTCTGGACATTGGTCCTTGTAAGTAATGATTTCATGAGTCATGAGCTGAGGTGGAAGATACTCACCGTCCAAAACCTTTGCCGCACGTAGGACAGCTGTTTATATTGATAGGAAGATCGGTCGTTTTAGCTTAGATTCTAGAATATCCACAATGGGCACAATGGGTTAAATCTCACATATGATTCCGTACGACCCCAGTATTCGGACTGACTCGGGGATCATGTGGAAGAGAACGATAATCGCTAGTGGAGCTTGAAATCGCGCAAGTTGACAGAGGTTCATTGAAAGATAAGCATCATATCTGATTGTTTGTCATGATCAGAAGATGATTTCACTCACGAAGATTGCAGGTGAGGCATGACTGGAGCATGATAAACAGGGTTCGAAGGGTGTGAATACTCGTATGCCAAACGATTTTGAGAAGCCATGGTTGTGGGATAATGTGGTTGGGAGCCGTAGCTTGGTGATGAATGAAGGTTCATTTGGGTGCGCGAGTCGAGGTAGGGAGGGCTGCCCGTGCTATGACTCTGGTAGTCGAACGTGTCGGGAGCAAAACCGGAGACAGGTGCATACGGAGAAAAAGACGAATGCGAAGGCTGCTGGTTTGAATGAAGATAGGGATCTGATGATTGATGTCCAGAAAAAGGTCTAGGTGAAGATTGGTCAGAGGGATAACCTCGATAGACATCTCGGCGTCCCGAACCTGTGTTGTATCCGTCAGCCATAGAGTACGAGGAAATAACTTTGAGGGGATTGTATTGCATCGATAGATTTCGATTTATCAATGGCGGAATGTCGAGTGAAAAATAGGAATGAGGATGGAGCCAAGAAAAATGTAAGTTGAAAGTCGGTTATTTATACGCGTGGGCGTTCAAGTGCTTCTACCACATAGGTGGACTTATAGATCCGGTAATGTCATGATCGGCGGTGTGAGATTGTGGTCACTTCTAAATATCGGCTCCTGGCCGATGAGCAGAGCTAGGTTCATCCGAAAAATCAAAACTGTATGTGCCTCTTTAAGTCACTTCGTTCTGAGAGTTGATTTGATGGGAGCAAGGGGAAAAGCGAAAGAAAAAGAGATTTTCAAACACGCGGGGAGAGTTAGTAGAATAGTGGGGAAAAACGGAGGGGTAGGGAGAGGTGATTATAGTATGACGTACGTACAGCTCTTAACATTCAGACCGAGGATTCTTCCCGATGATTAATGACTGCGGAAAACCAAGTGAAAAGGTTGATGGTGGTCATAGAATCATTGACGGCAGTCAGGCGAAGAAAAATATGTAAAATCGGTTAATAAGGTATTGAATGAAATTGACTCCTAATGTGTAAATATATGTCCACTACGTGCAACTGAAGGACACAATGCTTCAGATATGTTTTTGGGAGCCTTCACAGCATCAGCAGCAAACCCATTCAGCAATGAGTTACAGCCTCACAAGTCCTCAGGTCGGCCGTGTGTCGGGTAAAATTCGTGATTGTGATTGAGTATGTATGACGACCCATGACGAAATGCAGTCAAAGTGTTTGCTCGGATTTCAAACAAGCCTTTGTAACAATTAAAGGGACATATGATAGAAAAATAACCTTCATACTAGTCTCATGAGACAAATGTCCACAAGGCCAGCCCCTAAAACATAAAAGAATGCTAGGGGATGACTAAAGTTTATTCAGCACTGAACGGCTATTGCGAACCCCGGGTTCAGAAATCAGTTCCCCAATGATTAACAGAAAGCTCTGAATCACATCCCGTCAACAAATATGCCAAGCACGAAACCAGTCAAAATATGTATACCTACTCTCGGGGCTAACCCGGAATACTGGTCGATGGACATGGTGCTTCTTCGGCACGTGCTCTACGGTAAGGCCGACGTGATTATGGACAAAAGGCTTCGGAGAGAGTGAAAACGTTTATGAGAAAGGTCAGCTGAGATAACGATACATACATCGCTGTAACAACGTCGACGACCGAACTTGAATGCGCTGATTCATGACAGGAGGTATCGAGGTATATGATTGCACAGCTTTTCGGCTCGATCCGCAATATTCAAGGACCAAGAGGTATCTACAAAAAATGACGTGCAGTATTCCTTGCGAGTCTTCTCCTGTGAGCCTGCATCAAGAGATTAAAATGGGTGATATCGAGTGGATCACAAAGCAGAAAGGTATCTACTTATACATGCACTCAAATCACAGCACAGGGTAGCTATCTAGTACCCAATGAAATAATCCAATGACTTCAATTGAGGTGCAACTATGACATGACCTTGTTTAACTGAACGGGATGTGACCACTGGTTTACTTCAATTTACTTCACCGAACGTCAGGCAGAATCCCTCGTATCATTCGACATGTGAGGAGGCGATGACCCCAGAAGCCGTGTCCGTGACAGAAAATGGACCCAAATTGACACCTTTTGGCAATTTCAGCTACGGGCTGGTATGGGTTGGCTATCCTCACAGCATTACCAGTGACCCAGCTGGGTTAACACAGATCGAGTAGTGACTGATCATTTCCCTTCGGTGAATCCGAGGATGTTTTGAACTTAGGATCAACCCGACTTACTCTTAGAATAGTGTACACACCCCAAATCAGGCTTTAGAGCTGAGGTATGAATACTCATGTATCCATATTCCCAACCTCTCACACAACCTTCCTAGTTAACGAAATCTCATGTTTAGCTCTTGCGATTGTACGATGACATTCAAAACTGGACCGTGTTTCAACAGGCGTTCGCAGACCGGCAATCCGTGTGTAGCTCCGTCTTGAAGCAGATATATCTTCTTGGCACGATACACTATCTTGAACATGTTGTAGGAGGGATTCGCATTGATGAGGGATGATCAACGTTCACGGTTCAACACACCTCGGAGCCATCCCAAGATTTTGAGACACGGCAGCATCCGACCTTGAATTATGTAATCGACCCGGACGTCACCCCCGAGCCCTGAGCCGCCGATCCGGCTAAGGACCCGATGGCAACCCTGGTCCCCTATAGGTACAGGGCTCGGGTAAAGGTTTAAGCCCCCCAATGGTCGGGCTTTGGGTGTGGGATTGGGTAAACCTACTTTTGCCTGGTTATCCGCCGGATGATTGCATTTAGGGGGATGAGTCTTGTTGAGTTTTTGACCTCTACATTAAATCTAGCAACAACACAATGCTTTCAAAATCTGCCTATAGATCTTACAACAGCTGTGGTTGTTGAGAAGCACAATCTCCAACTTGCAATCAACACCAAACAAAGGACCAAACTAACAGTACCAATCTTAAAGACACAAAAGAACCTCCACATTCATAGAAGCCAGAGAGGCATGCTGGGGGCCTAGAATGTTCTTGGTCTTGCCAAAAACCACTTCTGAGGGAGATCTGTCTGCTGGAATGGCCAGAAATTTCATGGCCATCTTAGCCAGCACATGATAGATGGCCTGGCATGATTTCCAATAGGCCAAAACCACAGTTTTGCATGGTTTGGGTAGCCCGCACAAGTCACCATGTCTGTTTTGGAGTGGCATGTCAACATGCACACAGAAAATTATTTGGCTAGTAGTTGTTTAGTGTTGTTGAGGACGTCAGTAAGCCTACATGATACAATTCCTGTGTTTGACTGGCTGGAAATTGCAGTACACTATACCCTTTGTCAACCAACAAATACAACCACTGTGAACTGTCTTTGGACAGCTTTGGAGCACTATTGTTCCGGGGTACAAATTCAACTCAAGCTAGTAGGATACACACAAAAACTTCAATCAAACAGCAGATATCTGATGGATCATCATGATTAGCTAAGTAAACAGCATCTCACACTTGACTTAATGAAAATGTTTCATAGCAATACCTAAACCCTTAATGACAATCCACTTTCAATATACAATAGATTGAACTGATTCTAAATACATATAAACTAAAGCCATTGTAATGATCACCCTCCCTTCTTGTCAATTGATATCTGATTTTTCTGATCATTGATCACCAATCAGTCTTTAGGTCAACCTTGTTCACAAGATACTCAAAATTGATCAAAATGCCATCTCACCAACTTCTGGAACTTGGTCTTGATCTCTTTTGCAAATATTGAGCTTGGAAAGACCCAAAAAACAGTTTTGAAAATACATTGGGTCAACTTTAATCAAATTGAACAGTTGTGGGAGTATCACAGGCCAATGTCAAACATAACTTACTGTTTTATCACTGATCCAGACTGTGAACCTATGGCCTTCTGTCCAATTTCAAGGAGACCAAGCTGTACTCCAGTCAACCCAAGAGAGTGACAAACCCTTTTGTTGGTCCTGAACTTTGATCAAAATCATATATTTCAATTTGATCATAGTAACAAACAAAATAAAATGTATCTTTTTGCACCAGAATGAAACTCAAAACCCAAAACTACAAATTGGCATCAAGGAAGCTCACAATATCAATATTGCATAATCTCAAAACATCTTGCACTCTGAATCTATGTGAGATCAAACCTATTATTTTGATGATCAAAAGCAAAAAAAACATCAGTTATCTGAATAGTACAGGGATATATCAAGGGTTAGATGGAACACAATCATAGGTCGAAAGGCTTACTGATCTCCCTTCAATATGTTTCTCTATCACTTGTTTAGGTGGTGTGTCAGTTTTGATCATCAGACTTGTTTTCTAGTCTCTCTCTTCTGTCTTGTTTGCTTATCCATGATTAATTTGTGAGGTTTAATCAATAAGTGTGTAATTAGGATTATTTTCACTCTATACCTAATTCTTCATCTGTATTGCATGCTTCTGATCAAGTATGAATTGTTTGATGTTGTTGATGACAATGAGTGATAAAATACAGAATTGATTTTGCAAAAGTCATCAGGGTGATCAGTAAAAAACAAATTGTCTTGTGTATGGATTATTGGCTTGATCAGACATATTTTTGACAACCTTGGGAAAGCATTTGGTGAAATTATGATGCAATGCAGTCAACAACAATCAAAACTGAAACAGACAACAAAGCAGAAAAGAGAAGCAGGTGTTATTGTGATATGGTTGCTGGATTGTGTTACCTGAGTCAGTTGGAGACGGAGGATGATTTTTGATAGATTCCACAGTTCATACGGATGGAATTGGCAGAAAGACAAGGATGAGGTCATTGGTGACGTATATCTTGGTGTTGAAAAGTGCTCTCAGAGCTGGAATTGGATGAAGTGATGGAAATTGATTGGATCTGATTGGATGGGTTGAGATTATGTAAGAGAAATACTATGGGACACACATGACCATCAGTTGCAAGCAGGCCTGGGCACTTCTTCAACACAAACAAAAAGGGTTTTGATATTCTTTCAAACTTGTTTGTGTGTGTATGTTGATGTGCCACATAGGAACAGACATGGCGAGTACTGACTGATATCACTGTCAATTGTTTTATCACAATGATTGCTTTGATTGCCGTAGATGGTGTCTTCAAGGTACTGAGTGGTTGAAGAGGTGGGTCTTCTGCTTGAGGTTTCCTAAATATTGCACAAGAGATATTCATACTTCCTTGCTGTGCTTTTGAACATTGATCTGGTGTCTGACAGGAACAGATCATATTCACTCAGCATCATCTCTCACTCCTGTTTTTGTTGTTTTCAAAACATGATCAGTACATAGTTGATTTGAGATGAGAGCCTTGACTTACTTGAAAGTATTTCAATTTAAGGTGTGGATCAAAGATAGAGGCACAGATCTGGCTTAGTTTTGAAAGAACCTTCCTGGGATATTCTTTCCAGGCTTGCCCATCAATCATTTTTTGACCCCA